TACTGTCAGAATCAATTGTTACTAGGATTCAATTCAAAATAATTGATTATCTAAATGGTCACACTGTGCAGGTATTACTATGAGGTGGTAGTGTAATAAAACAATAGGAAGGTGTTTATAACAACAGTAGTTGTAGAGGCAACGTTTGGTTGGGGTATCTGAAAAGATAGGAATCATTGTTTGAAAATCCTTAGTAACATGGCTGAAAATTGGTAAAAGTGCCGCAGATGTATGCAATAGCTGACCTAAGGCTTGATTATGTGCACTAATCGTAATCTTCAAGTGCTAGGGGAATTTTAGTCAGGTTGACTGAAGTGCTAACTAGTGTATAGAAGTCAGACATGGTCCCCTCTAACTGGTCTCAACTACTGATTGTCCCAGTCTCCAAGAAAGGGGAGTCAATCTGATGAACATGGTGACTGAGACTCTAGGCTCAATGCTAGTGGCCCAGATGTTGCAAGCATTAACTTTATCTTGTTTGTTATACAGAATAGAGCGTTTTGTTGTTCCTGGTTGTTATCATGTAGTGACTTTCTACCACTTTTGTCTGCTCTGTTGTCCATTAGTCTATCGTTCTTACTGGTGCATTTTCGCTTGATGTGGTGAAATAGAAGCGCGGTAGTGATGCCCATTTCGACGGTGAAGTCGACTAACAATTCATTTCTTTCGCTAGTTTTTTATCGATATTTAACGTCACTGTCTTCAGCATACAGCTAAGCCTACCTTCGTCAGTTATGTGATAATACTGTACTATCACGATAATGTCATCGACTAGGCGGTCAAAGATCCAATCTATCATTCATATCTTCATTGTCGATGCTGATCCCGTACTTATATTAATATATATACAGCTGAAGAAAAGATAACGAAATACAGTTTGCCTACGTCACTGGAAATTTTACTGTAATGATTAGTTGACAGTTCAGAGTCCAGGAATGACTGGGTAACATAAATCTTTGTAAAACAGTACAATTTATAATTTAGTAGTGCTAGGCAAGTGAAAATGGAGCTGATCAAAATCTATTTGCTTACAGCTAAACAAAAAAATATGACGAAAATAATGATGATAATTACATATAATATGTATATATAAGCGCAACAGTGAATTTACAAATAATAACAATTGGACAAAATAGGAGGTTAAAAGCAAAACGTGTTTGTTCAGAAAGTGAATCCATGTGATTGTGCACTTTTTTAATTCTCATAACCCTACAACCACAGGTAAATAAAGCTGACTGTATAAAAAGGCTCTGCATGAAAGTATGAAAGGTTGACTATAAAATGAATGATGTGCATCACATTTAGCATAATCATTTTCTAAAACAAATAGTATACAATAAATAAGTTTAGAAGCGAAAATTACACTAATTTTGTCGATTAAATTGATAAGATTAAAATAGTGACGGGGAAATAATATATGATGAGAGAAGTTAATAATAATAATAATATTTATGGTAAAAATAGTATTATTACATAAACTAAATAAGTAGGAGTTTCAGAGAAAACGGATAAAAACAGGCAAACGGAGGTGATAGTGAATTGTCCAAAAACTACAGTTGCACTTTTTATTCATGTGAGTGGTGAGAAATATGATGAAGACTTTGGATCTACCAAGTGTCCACAGATAAGTGAGTGGATAAAATAATCACATGTAACCATTTCAACAGGTAATGTCTTCATAAATGCTATCGCTGACTGTGTAACCTATAAAACAGTTTGTATAATTATAAAGAAAAGTGAAGAAATCTGTGATATCAGATAAACACTTGAAAATAAACTGGTTAGGGTAAGTTTTTAGGAGACTTCGTAATGGTAAGCAAAAAAACCCAATACAATGAAAAACAATAGTCATTTATGAATGCAAAATTTTTCAAGCTAAACAAAAACTGTTCAGCTTACATATGTCGCTTGTCAACCAACTGTACCATGAAGACAATGTGTTACAAAGAGTCATATCAGTGTGTGAAGATTTTGATGACAAACGTCTTGCATAAAATGGATTTTGGTGCACTGACATCAATAGATTAGCTAGTTAGAAACAGTTAGTCCTCTTTAGATAAATTATGTCCTCTTACTATTTTTTCGAAATTAGCTACTGCTATATCGGCAAACGGAAATAAAAGCTAACAACTAGCTAATGTGTATCATTTGGAGCTGCGCTCAGTGGTTTATAGAAATGATCATAAACTAGTGGGTCGCGAGTTCGAACCCCACCTCATCTACCAATGTGAGCAGTCAGGTAGTATCACTAGCCTCAAGACAATATATGTGGTTCACTGTTTACTCCACGAATGTGCACAAGGTTGCTAAGCGCGATTTGTATCACTTCAGTATCACCGCCTTGAATCTTGTAATTTTATAGCTAAGGGTACTAATTACCATAACAATGATAACTTGTGTTTATGAATTTGGCTGGTGAAATCTGAATTCAGCTCGAGTTAACTCGAACTACTACTGTTCTCTACAAGGATTTTAGGAATTTCCATTATGTAAAATAATGTTGACATTTCGAACCACCATTTACCACATGCATAATAGTAGTGATCAACTTTTCTCACACCATCGCATGAAATTTTTTAAAAAGGTAAAAATAAACTTTGTTGTCAAATGGAGGACAACTCATTACAATATGAAGTACCTATTTAAGAATATGGTACCTAGGTAGAAACGGTACGAATTTCACGCTACTTATAAAAAAACATTCAGTTTGATAAATGTTGAATTTATCTATTCAATGAAGTCACAAATGGGAATTTTCGAACAAGATGCAACAGAGAAGGCTAAACAGCTTTCAGCTCAGTTAGAATTAGTTTGAAACCAACAACTTTTTTTACTTATACCAAGGAAATTATTCCATATTTGAATATATACAACTTATTTGTTATTATGCTGCAAAATCTTAATATGTTAATATGGTCAGTTGCTGCAAGATACGTTTATATGCATTTTATAACAGCTGTGACGGTGTCATTCACCGTTTCACTAAACAAAGATAATCCGGCCCAGTGGTTCAGCAATTAAAAGTCAAGTTTTAACACTGTTGAACCACAAACCTAGCAGCTTTTTTTAGTTATTACAGTCGAATGAAGATCTTAACATGCTACCTGAATTTTTTTAATGATTTATACCAATATATTATTTTACAATAAAGGTGGTCCCTGGACTTCCATCAACGGAAAAATCTCACTGAGACATCAACAAGTTAAGGAAGCATTCTGTAACTCACATTATTTTTGTCAACCAGTACAAAATTCACTTTTTTTTCAAGTGATTTACATCTCGATCTTATTGATGGAAACAAGGTAGAAAGCCTCTGAAATGCTTCAGAGAGAGGGATCAAAAGAATTCTGTTGCACGATGTTTGGTGGGATTCATCCACTTCTTTAGTCGATCCACACGCAAGAGATAAGATATTCAACCAACCAGGTCCAAACACCGACACATCATTGGTTACTATGGCGACTAAGCGAAAAGTGGTCTCACTATCTGCCCAGTCTCCATGTAAATCAAACAATGAAGGAGCGGGAATTGTTTGATAAGCAGGTGAACGATAGCGTACAGGAACAGACCACCTGAAATATAAACCAAGGTAAACAGCAAACTAAGTAGGACAGAATAATGAAAACCCGGACACAAGCTTTTTAAACATTATTTTCCCTTGAATAATATAATTAGGATTGACAGACTTAATCAATAAACTACTAAAAACTAAGTCACATATTGGTGACTAAATAAAAAGTAGATTACTGTTCAAAGACATACATCTCTTATTACGGAAAAAGTGTCGTAAGCGATTACGAAGATCTGCTTCGTAGGTTTGAAAGTCTCATCAAAGGATCATAACAATAATTAGGCATCTGTAACCAAAACGATAGGCAAGATTGCTTTCTACAAAGATGACCAGTGAGTAAACTGTTAAAACCTTTGAACGTTCTCTGAATATCCGGAAGCAGTTGTCAAATACGTCACAGACAGTTTGGTTGAAACCCATTGCCAACTACCTCACGTAGATAATTAAGCAATATTACAAAACTTTATAACCTAGTGTATGAACTTGCTAAAGCCTATTGAATCCCGTAGAGACGTTACGAAATACCGCAATCATACACAAAAGGCATAATTTAGAAATATATGAATCCAGTCAGTTGAACCGAAAACTTTCAGACAAACAAAGTACTGACAATTCGCCTTTGTTAAGGTAAATTTTATAAAGCGGACACGATGACTTAGTAACGAATTAAATCTGTCAGAGAATCACATCGAAAGGTACTCAGCAACCTTGTGTACATTCGTGGAGTACGCCATGAGCCACACCCATTGTGTGAGAGCTAATGAATCTACCCGATTGTCCGAACATCAGTAGGTGGAGCGGGACCTGAACCCGTGATTCACTAATTGAAAGTCATCTCCATAAACCAATGAGCCAAATGCCTCAATTCTCAAGTAGACTAGGAAATAGCTACCTGAAAGAAGCTTCAGAGATTTCCAAATGAATAGCAACTACGTCGTAATGCAAACTAGAAGGCCACATGAAGGTTTTACTCCATATATATATATATATATATATATATATATATATATATATATATATATATATATATATATATATATATATAATTACTGGATCAAAATGAGAAAAATATTACCAACTGATTGGTTCAGTGGAACCCGAAATAAATCCTCTCGGTAATTCATAACGACCAGGATATGAGCGTAATAAGTACAAAGGCCAATTACGAGTTTCTTCATTGATTGACTCGTCACCTGAAGCTTTAGCATCTTCACGACAAGAGTCCAGCAACCACTCAGTGCGAAGTAATGGAACACTACCCAGTGTAGCAAGTGCTTGGAAATATTTCAAAGTACGACAACAGTCTGTTGAAACTACTGCTATAAAATGAGTTTGATGAGTCATCTTTCGCCCAAAGCCTTCATCTAATTCAGGACTTTCGCAACCATTTCTCCTGTTAAGTAAAGAAGGATTGATTTCCGAAGCAATTTTCCCACCACATGCAACAACCAACTGCTCGATGAGATTACGATCAAAAGACTTTTCGAATGTGTTATCTAAAAAACAAAAACTAGCAGTATAAAAAAAGTCATAATGATGGATACAAGCTGTTACTCAAAGAGTACGAAAATCAGTTTGTTATTACATTTCAGAGCTTCACTGTTAACAGTACGGTAAAAAATTATAATAATTATATCAATGAAAGACGTTTGTGCATTGCACAATAGATTAATGTATTACCAGTAAATTTTCTAATGGCAAGTTTACTTTATGTAAAGTAATAAGTTTTTATTTTGGTAATTTTGCTCGAAATATTACCAAAATAAAAAAGTTATCATTGTGTGTATATTTGTCATTAGTAAATTTACTTATAATACTTGTTTGTTTCTGAATGGTCTGATGACATAAAAGGAAACGCAATACATGCTATTAAAGAAAGAGATAATATATCTCACTGTAACAACGAGTCACAAATATTTGAAGACGGTAACACATATCCCAGTTACTTCAGCTGATGACGACTTGACAATTCCATTGATTAGCTTATCTCTCTTAACTGGATAATATTAAAACTTCTGCACAGCACATTTGGTGAAACCATATACGAAGGTTGCTACGATGATAATTATGGTCAATTATAATTAAAATCCACACAAATCTATTATTAGTGCTTATATTTCCTGAAACATGTAGCTTATGGTTAAAGGCTTAACGTACATGTGGCCAAAACGTTCTAACCAGTTGAATGCAGTGTTCAATAATGGGAAGGTATTTCATGTTCTAGGCTTAAAGATAGGTAAGAGAAATACCAACAGAGGGTCTATCAAACCATGCACTTGCAATGGTCATCAAAACTGACTTCATATCGCTAGTAGCAACAAAAACTAAATGCTCTACCTTAACATTTGAGCAACCAGTTTTTAGTAGAACAGATAAGTCAATACCGTTTTAACGCATCGTTAGACATCAAGAGACTCTAAGAGTAAATGACTGCTGTTTCGATATACATTTCCTGAAATGGAAAGAAAATTCAATATAGTTCACTAACTCGGAAAAGCAACATCCTATTCAACTTTCTTATCTAATCACAATACTGCAATCTAGAGACTTTAAAAACGAAAACTAGGAAACGTCATGAAGACCCTGACCAACGATCTTCACATGTAAAAAAAGTGCTAGCTTTAAAGAAGTGACTGTTGAAGCAGTTTAGGCAATAAACTAGAAAACAATCGAAGACATAATTCAGAATTATCAGTAACTTACTAGTTCATAGGTAAAAGTTTCAGACCGAAACCTACTTCAGCCAGTACTTCACGGTTCACTATTACTATCGCTTTCTTCTAGTCAGTTATGTGTCACTGCGAATTCCAGTTGTTACAAATGAACCTATTTTTTTAAGATGAATGATGATGCTCAAAAAGAAGAACTAATACAGTGTTAACTTCATATTTAAATATTAAGACCACCTGTAAAGATAAATTCCGTTAGGTTAATTAATATGGTTTCCTAGGAGAACGATCATATGCAAAATTGTTTAGTTATGAAACCATGAAAAGTCACATTTACTATCGGGTTGTTATTAAAGTTAGCATTTCGATAGGCGTACTAGTTAGTCATGACTAGTTTATCCACCACTGCTATGAAAATGATGGTATACATTACAGTATGAAATGTATCTACCAGGTCTTATAATTAATGAATGATTTCTTGAACACATACGCTACGAAAAAAAGAAGATAAGATAGACTGGAATTTCGCTGCACTTTACACTAGTTGATCATGTAAATAAACTTATTGTCAGTGAATAGGAATTTTATCACTCTATTAATTAAAAAGGATTACAGATATTCTACATTTCAACTGAACTGAAAATTATGCGAAATTAGGTCATGGTAGTACTTTCATCAGTGTATTTACAAAACTAAACGTTATCAACCATGGAAATCATCGTTCACAGTCATAATAAAATGTTTTTTCGATTCGTTGAATTCTCTTATAGTTACATTTCCACCAGAAATATTTATTCGCATAGTAATGCTATTAAAACCTTAGGAAGATTATGAATCATTGTGCAGGAAAAATAACAAAAAGCAACTAACTTTTAACACCACCCGTCAGAATTATAGTCCATCCTTGAAACACCGATGAACTTGGAATCGGGATATTCAAACTATGGCTTAGTGAACGCAGTAAACCGATTGATGCTCTAGATTTCGGAAGTGGAGATAACTGTATCTTTTTAAACATCATCTGGTTTGTATCTAGAATAAAAATAGTAAGTATTAACTAACAACATTACAAACGATAAAATGTCAAAGTGGTATTCATCACAGAGTGACATCAGTTGGAGAACCAATGGAAACCTGGGAGCACCAGATAGCTGTTTCATCTTAGTATGGAAGTCTTCATCAATGACTTCAAACACAACTACAGGAAAAATGCGTACTCATATTAAATCCTATAGGGGAAGAAACAGCGGATAGGCAGAATAAAATGCAAACGACACAATCATTCAATACCACGACAGAGTTTAATTCAAAAGAACCTCCGAAATAAGTAAAATAGTGGCTAAAAACAATATCTACTGAGTTATTTGCCACCTTTATCAATGCGTGACACTTATCTTCACGAAACAAGAGTAAGATGGTAATACTCGCATTCGATAGATTAAAAGCCGAACACTTCAAGATATAAATAGATTGATAGGCTTCCTAATAATATGATGAAGAATTCATAATTTCTTTACTGAATTCTGCTCAAAACGGAAACAAACTGTGCTAAGTGTACTGCACTCGCTGTCCCTTCATTCCTGCATTTCGACCTTTATCCTATTCAGCATATTTCAAATTATGTTTTTTTATTTATTACTCTGAACACTTCAGTTTAAGACTATAGATAAACGGTTAAATAAAATGAACTCTTTTTTGTGGAAATAAGCTTTGATCCCACTTTATTCCAGGTTATCAAAGAAACAGAATTCCTGAAATCGAAAAATAATCTCATAAGCCTGCGTTTCGTCTTATGCTGTGGTGAGGGCACAGCTTTTATATATGCACTGATATGCGTTAATTATTCGAATAATAACTGCGTATACCGAAAGGAATGTTTACATGAACATACTATTCTTTTGATTAGTATCTTTCAACTTTGTAATAGGCATCTCCAAAGACATTGGCTGGTCAACAGATCTTCATTATCTGAAAATAAATCAGAAAGACGTTGCTTTTTTGCTGAATTTGCATTTTCATTTGAACTACTGGATTTGTTTCGAAACGACCATTACGAGTAGATGATGGTAAATTCCATTTAAACTGATTTCTGTATCGCTTGCGTAGTTGGGTTGACGCGGTCTAAAATTCCGAAGAAAAACACCTACTAGATATTTGGTTAGCAACATGCTCCTGTAAAACAATAAATAATCATTATTAGCGAGCTCCACCAACATTTAATGATAGCATACATCTGAGAAAGATATAGCTACCTTGCCCAAATCCAACACTAAGGATGAAATATGCTGTCAAAGCTTTATGCGCACAACATCTACTTGACAGAAATGGATTTAGGAAAGCCAAAGTTAGCTCAGACTACATATAACTGCTGTTCATCCAAACAGGTAAATAAAAAACTGTCTAGACAGTCAGATTGTCAACAAAAGTACTTCAAATAAGCAGCTAACTACAATGACAGTCCCAAAATTTAAGACTAATACTTTGCTTTTACTAACGATCAGATAAGGTGATCCATCTTGTGTAGTTAAACGTGAAAAAAGACTTCGAATATGAGTATGTTGGAGACAACATCGTTTTTCAAAATTACCTTATACTTTACCATAACCAAGGAGAAAACACATCATCGCATATTAATTTGTTTATTAGGCACGTTACACAGTGAAACAGTTTTAGTTACCTGATAACGTTTTGGACACTATTTACTGTCCATATCCATATCACGTTAGTGCAGAACCTCGAGACATGCTTTATATAGTTCTAATTCACTCTCCCTCTTTATGACAAGAAGAGAATAATTATCAAGGTATCTGAAACATGTGCTGATTTCGTTCGTATTGCATGTGTTTGGAGCTGATTCGAGAAACAAGATTGTTATCGATCTCTCCCTCTACTCAACTAATTTTTCGTTAAATATCGTCGTTCTTCACCTTATTGTTTGCAATCATACGCATAGTTACCCGAAGAGTTTCCGCAGATGCTGGATTTTATTAGGGTTTACCAGTCTTGATTTAGCAAAGCTTTTGTCCTCAAACAGCCTTAATGTCAGTAAATGTACCCTGAATTAGATGGGAAGATAGCAATGTGTTTTTAAACAACCAATTGTTCACAATGATACAAAGAGCAGACAACTAGTAGCGAAGCATAACTACAATTATGAAACAATATTCACAATGTCTTTAAACCACACATTCAGGTTTTGCCAAACAAGTAACACTTAGGTGACAGGAGATTCTGATTTCTTTTATCAAAAGCCCAAGGTCAAGTCACACAGACATTTCCCGATTGCTGGGAAGCAATACATAAATTTAGGAAAGCGAGGATTAGATGACAAACTTCAAAAATTTTAAACTGAGTTATCTGCAGTGGATAAAAAAATGTTACGCTCTGCTGTATGAAGAAAACATTAATAAATGGCATAAAAATCTAAGCAATTTAGTGTTTAGGATGAGATCAACACAGATGAAACCAATGATAAATAGTTGAGGAAACCTGGTTACCAAAGAGGAGAAACAAAGGAAACGATGGGCTGACCACTTCAAAATACTCTTGAATCGACCACCACCCCCAACTCGCCCAAATATACCACCTGCAGCCACAGAATTACCAGTGGACACAAGCCCTCCGACAAAAGCCGAGGTCTTGGACGCCATAAAGTTGCTGAAAACCGGGAAAGCAGCAGGACCAGATGGAATCCCTCCAGAAGCACTGAAAACAAACACAGAGACAACAACGAACATGCTCATAACATTATTCCAGAAGGAAAGGTATCTGCCGATCGATTGGAAGAAGGGCTACCTTGTCAAACTCCCAAAAAAGGGAGACCTAAGTCTTTGCAAGAACTGGCGCGGAACTATGCTCCACTCCTATCCACCCCAAGAAAAATATTAAGCCGTGTCATCTTGGAAAGACTAAAAAAATCCTCTGCATTCAACTGGATTACGACCGGAACAGGCAGGCTGGATTCAGGAAGTACAAATCATGTGCAGATCAAATCTCAGTGCTGTGCATCATCATAGAACAGAGTATAGAATGGCAGTCAACTCAACCTCAACTTCATCGATTTTGAAAAGGCCTTCGATAGCGTCGGCCGAAGAGTAATTTGGAAACTGCTTCAACACTACGGTTTCAGTGCCACAAACCTTTATCAACCTCATTCAACAGCTATATGACGACACTATATCCCAAGTGATTCACAATGGGAAGCTCAGTGACGCCTTTGAAGTGAAGAAAGGAGTAAGACAATGTTGCCGCCTACTATCATCCATGATCTCCCTAATTGTGGTCGACTAGACTGGAATGGCTCATGCAGCAAACCGTGAGGAGAGAGAAGATGGGCATACGCTGGCTGGACCGATGGAAAGAGCCTAGAAGAAGATTTGGATTTCGCTGATGATGATTTATGTCTAATGTCTTGTGGCACAAACTCGAAGATCTACAGGCAAAAACTAACAAGTTAACAGAAGAGGCAGGGTGGAGAAGACGGGACTACAAGTGGACGTAGAGAAGACAGAGGTGATGAAGATACCCAACCAACAGCACCAACAAGCTCCAATCACCATCAACGGGAGAAACCTAAAGGAAGTGGCCTCTTTCACCTACTTACCTACCTACCCACCTAGGCAGCATCGTTTCAACTACAGGTGGCGGTGGCGGTGGCGGCACAGCCAGGATCGGAAAGGCAGCAAGACAGACCTTCCTGCATTGATCTGAAATCAATGTGGAGATCTACTGCACTCCACTGCACTCAGCATAAAGAACAACATCCAGATTTTCAACACTAATTCAGTCAAGTAAGTCAGTGCTTCTATGTGATGGTTGAGAGACTTGGCGCGTTACGAAAAGCATTTCTAACAAACTACAGACATTCATCAACAGCTGCCGCCTTCGCTCGCTCGATACTGAAGATCACATGGATTGCCAGAATGATAAGAATAAGCAAGAAGGGACTCACTTGGGCAACGAACCAACCAAGAACCTATCGCCCAACAAATATGCAGAAGGAAGTGGAGATGGATTGGGCATACACTAAGGAAACCATTGGGGGACATCACGTGCCAGGCACTCAAGTGGAACCCAAAGGGGAAACTGAGAGTTGGGCGTCCGAGTCGAGTGTGACTTGGAGGAGATGGTGTGAGGAAGAAAAGAAAGCTTCTGGGCAGTCGTGGAGCCAGGTTTTGAAGACTGAAGAGAAGAGAATGCAATGGCGAAGTGCTACTGAAGCTCTATGTTCCACTAGGAACCCAAGGGACAAATAATAATGATAATAAAATTACCCAATGATAATATAACCCTCCTAGTTTCTACGTCACGTTGTGACGTGACAAATTGGACTGAATGCAGTAAACCAAGTCCTATGCTGACATTGAATGCCTAAGTGACCTGGAAAACTGAATAACGATCCATGATTAACACGAGAAAATATTAGTGATATACATCAATTCCTATTCATATTTCACCTGAGAAACTACTGAAGTGAAATCACACACAGTTATCACATTATGTTCCCACTAACTCAAATTCTCAACTTAATACCAGACGATCGCTGGTCAATGAAAACGATGTGACATCATGAACAACTTACAAGCTTGCTGGGTAGTGTTTTGGGCTGTTGATCATCGTTTTTCTCCATAGGTGCCAAGTGCTTCACTGGTGTTACCCAACTTGATCTATAAATTTTCGGCTTTGATTTTCTTTTATCAAACACCAAGTTGGACAAGCTAACCTTCAAAATGAAAAGTAAACGAATGGTCATGAGTCAGAAGATTAATGACTTACAATAATTCAGAAAAACCATAAGTGAATAAAAGGTTCTGATAAATCAAAAAGACTGATTTGTAAAGTAGTTTAAAACTAAACTATGCAAGGAAGTATTAACTACATGGTTAATTTTGTATACAAAAACACATATCAGATTTTTGTATAAGCTAAATCTAGGATTAATCATCTACTGCTATAGTAATCAAGAGAGATAATAAGAATGGTGATTAGCTCAGTTATCCGGAATAGTAGCAAACTAAACTTCAGAATAAGACATACATAAACTTCCATGTTAGCATACTATTATGGTGAAGTCAAAATGAATCATTTGATCACAACTTACGTCTGGACTCGCACATATTTTTGTAACAGAATTTGTATCACTAACTATCTCATTGTCCACTGAGATTTGAATGTCATCATTCGAAGGCAAAGTTTACGTCTTTTCAAATTGTCAACCTCTGACTCATGAACTGACACTTGACCGCGTCGTAAACTATGGGAATGCAAAATGACAAGGTATGAATAACTTCATAAACGTCAATCTACAGCCTAACCAATAGAAAATAACAACAACAGAAAAATGTAGACTTCCCGGTTGAAGTGTACGTGACAGTCGAATCCAGTGGGTGGTGGAGACATGACTCAGAATCAATGTCAGTGGCGCAGATTTATGCAGATACTATCTTCATCCAAATCGTCATACCGAGTCTCATTTTGTCTCATTCCTCTCTGTTGTCGCGTCGTGACTTCCTACTACTCGCTTTTTTCTTGTCTATTACTTCATCTTTCATCTTGGTGCATTCTCTCTTGATGCGGTGATATGGTGTGTGGCAATATGGAGTGTTAATTCTATGAATGAACTCAGGATCGTCTTGATGTTCATTTGTGACAGTTTCTACAGTTATGCTGACTTATACATTGGTATATAAGCTTGTCGCATCAAAGCTGATCAGATTTTGCTTTTGATTAGTGTTTTTGTGATAAGCCTATATACCGGTGCAGCAATAAAATCAATATGGCTCTAGAAGCTGTGAGGAATGAGTTTAAAAATAAGCCCGAATTCACTGATAAAACTAAAGTAACAATTGAAGACATCATGTCAGGTGATGTGTTTTATCTCACCGCTTTAGATTTCATTTTTCAAGATAAAACATGTAAATAAACGGAAGGAGTGGCCATGGCATACCCAATATCCTCACTCGTAGCAGACATGTTTTAGTGGACAATTGGGTATATATATATATATATATATATATATATATATATATATATATATATATATATATATATATATATATATATATATATATATATATATATATATATACTTGACACAAGGGGTCTTTTCCAGTAAGTCAAAAAAAATTAAATATCGAAATGAAACACATAAGCTTTACTTCTCAGTAATTATCCTCCTAAATTTATTCGGAAATACATAAAGACGCCTTTAAAAAGAGATTCAGTGGTGTAAAGGATAACTGCAACGCGACTAAGAAGGAATTCAAAGTCGCCGTAGTGTTGTCATATAAAGAACGGACATTAGAAACCTTATGTCGAATTCTCAACAAGGCTGGAAATGGGACGTTGTTGAAACTTGCAAACTCACTAGAACAAAAAACTTTGTCGGGTTACGGATTAATCATATTGATCCAATAAGACAAAATAACTTATTCTACCAAATATCGTGCAATAACTGTGAGGCCAAGTGCATAGGTCAAGATAGTCAGATTAACAGAACATAAGAAAGTCTAAATTGATAGACACTAATAAGCTGAGTGATCTGGAGAACAATTCAGATGCAGCTATGCATGTGCTAAACACTACCACACAATAGGGTGGGACAAAGTTACAATCCTGAAAGTTAATATAGTTAAGAGGAGAGAGGTGATCACTGAACCTCTGTTCGTCAATTCTATGCCTAACACGAGTAATCACAGTGACGCAACAACAGTTTCAGATGTGTGGAAAATTTTACCACCAATTAAACCAAAGAAGGAAAAACAATAGAAACTATAAAAAAAACTAAACCAGAAAGTTGTGTGGTTACCTTTACATGATTATGAGCAATAAATTCTGCTCGAAACGTTATCTAGTAAATAACACTAAATCACTATGTGCTGTACCAAATATGGAACTACCAGTGTCCAAATGCTGAGAGGGTTGTTCATCAGAGGCGGACTTTGTTCTGTTCAGGTATAGAGACTCAAAATTCACATTATTCAGTAAATGTCAACATGGGATTAGATAATGCTATGTAGCATTTTAAGTTGCCACACACAGAACACAAGGAACAAGGCCAAAGATAGATAAACAACAAAAAGATTATTAAATTTCAAAGAAAATCGTGATATCAGTAGAAAGTGGGTTTTTTTAAAAAGTAGCGATAAAGACTTGTGCATTCATTTGCGCGGCAGCGACCGATTTCCAGTCATATCATCCAGGGCTAAAGATTTCACGGAATGACGCCACATTTTAATCTATCTGGAACGTTTTCTAGTCTAAATCCAATTTAGATGACGTTTATCAACCACCTTAGTCAATCAATTTAGCAATATTCAAAAGTCGACTTAACTCTTTTTTTAAAAACACCACCTACTTGTAAATGCAAACTTAAAAAATCCGAATTCATCTTCACAACAAAACATTATCCTACCAAAGAAACATGATAAATTCAACTTGTAAACCTTAGACATCAGTCAATACACGGTTTAAACTGATCATTAACTGATTGCGAATGATGACAGAAGTATGGGATATTTCTCAAGTGTGTATTCATCATGGACTGACATCAGTTGGAGGAGACCTGGAAGCACAAAGACAGGTGTTTCGTCCTACCATAGGATTCCTCGACAGTGCGCACCCATAACCCCGCCAATGACCAAACCCAGGACTTTCAAGTTCCGTGGACAGCAGGTAGGTTACCATTGAGCCACTGAGAAGTAAAGCTTATCTTATGCGTTTCATTTCGGTATTTAATTTTTCGACTTACTGAGGAAACCCTTAACCCAATTACTAATACACTTGTGTCAAGTTGGGGTGAGATGGCCTAATGATAACGTGCTGGCCACGGAACCTGAAGGTCCTGGGTTCGATGCCTGGCAGGGTCATGGGTGCACACTGTCAAAGAGTCTCATGGTAAGACAAAACAGCTGTCCAGTGCTCCCAGGTTTCCAATGTTCCTCAGTTCATGATGAATAACAACTTGATAAATTAGTAAATCCCCAAAATTCAGTATGGGTTATGTTTGATTAAAAGTAACAGTATATTTTCCTCCCATTGAATTTAAAAAGTTTAATTCATAAATGGGGCACCAAAATAGAATACTATCAAAGAAATACTTTTCAAGCAGCCGCACATCGTGAATGTTGTGCATGCATATTATCCTGCTATCATAGACACAAATGACGATCCCATAAGTCACAGAAGTAATAAAGCTTTACTTTGTCGGAAACCTCATCTTACCAATAAATCTCATTTGAAGTACGACATATAACTTTATATGGACGTTCCGGATCACTTAGATGTGCTTCGATAATACAATCACCCCAGTATTCGTTGTCGTCTTTCAATTCGGCACTAACCTATAACAAAGAAAAAGGAAATATGAGTTTCACGATGTCAACAAAATTATTACTCAGTATCTAAGTTATTGTACATAACTCTTGGAATAAGATCCAAATAACCTTAAGGTTTATATGTCAAGGTACTTAAAAGGAAAACAAAATATGACTAACTCAAGGCGGAGAAAAATAGAAGTCAATAACTGTGAAGGCGACATTGGGATACTTCAAACTAATTTTTCAAAGGAGCCAAGATGATTATCAGCCGATTCAATCCCTAATGAGCAACAAATCCAGTAGAAAGACTGGCAACACATAACCTCCAGACATACGGTCATAATTCCTAGTCCACAGAAAGGAAAATGAAAAATCAACCCAAAAATATTACAAACATCATTCCTATTTTCAAACTGATGTCAAGTCCACAGTTCATAACATAGAAGTTTATTTGCTTTTGCACACCGTTGCGGAAAGCATTTCAACAGTGGGTATTACCAACATCGAAACACTTGTGGTTCGACAACAAAATAAAAGTCTGTTTTATCCACACAGTTTAAAGAAAATTTCTACACATTTAACTACAGAAAAGGTTCTTAGAGATCAAGGTTTAAAAAATACCATAAGAAACAGTTCAGTTCTCTAGTACTGATACCACTCAGTTTAAATGGTGCACATTATTGATAACAGCAATATTAAGTGATTATACTAACCACTAAAGTTCAAATAAAACAAAAATACAAGCTACTTTCATTCTGTAATTTTAAAGATCATCGAACTATTCGTGCAGAAAACAGCAAAAGTGAACTACATGATTCAAGTGTCCTGTAACATTTGAAACTACTGACTTGCATCAATGCTAAAACTTCATAGACAGTATTCGGATCCACCAACAACATACACATCCATGATCGAAGGTGATATGGCTAATGAGCTCTTTATCAGATGTGACAGAATCCCTACTTTGAGTGCTCCTGCATGCAATGGAATGCAGCTTCATAGAAGCTATTTGACGAAACACAATCATAATCACAGACCGAAAAACTGAACGAAGCTTTATATTTATATATATATATATATATATATATATATATATATATATATAATGTGTGTGTGATGTTTCAGTGCTGAGGTGTGTTCTTGGACGTCCCATCGCCAGGCTAGAAAAAAAGATATTGGAACGAAGTAGAGTGCTTCCATAGGTATAAGAGTGTTTGACACCGTTCAGCTGCCCATAGCACGAATAGCTACTTTACCTTGGGCTATTTCAAAGTGGATTAACTGTAACTGTAGAGCTAAGTTGCACAACTGGTTTCAGGACGTGTTTGCTTTTGGGTGAATCTCGGTCTATAAGTTCACTGGCCCAACGAACATCGACGGAAAGCACGAGAGGTGGGGACTACAACACTGAAAGCGACCTTTCCCACCTACCTGTTGTTTAGGTGTGAAGGTAATACAGATGGTCACTTCAACAGAACACCTCATTAATGTGTCACACCTATTTATTTCGTAACGAATCTCGATCGATGGCAGACAGTGTCAAATGCAATATTCAGGTTAATAAATACAGTTAGTTCCGGGTTTCTGTATTGAGGAACTTGTCGGAGAGTGAATATCTGGCTGATACACCCACGACCAAGTTTGAAGCCTGTCAGAATTTCTAGGTTTCGCTGTTCACAAGCTACGCCAATAGTTTTAATATTCAAGAAACCAAGAACCTTAGACATTATGTTCAGCATAAAATATAAAAGTTCATAGGATTCGAGCTTACACAAGTGTAAACTCAGTTGACTACAAGTGTGCTCAATATATTTATTCTTTATGGTCTTCAGACGTTTGGATTTTTCCAATAACCTTCGCTTTTACATTACTTTCACTTCTATAAACTTCTCTCTACTTTGATATCCGTCTTTTTTATTCCCTTGTTTATTATATGGTATTATGGCAACTTGAACCGAAGGACTTTGTGCGAGGTTCTACACTGATTTTTCTTTGTCACCACGTCAATTTGCAACATTATTCTATTCTAGCCGGCAGTCTAGGACATGAAGTATTTTTTTTAGCGTGACTCAAGAAAGTATGCAGAAGTGACTAAGGCGCTAGACTTCAATTCAAAGCTAAATCAATAGACTGAGTCGTTATAAATCTGACAAAAATTCTGAGGTAACTTACTTCAGTCCCAACAGGTAGTAAATAAACAGTGATCATATCAGAAGGTTTGATCCTGGCTCTTGTTCCATCTTCGAAAATAACAAGACTTCTAAATACAAAGTGAGGAGAAAAACATTGTAACTTTATTTATCAAAAAACTAACATTTAGAGGAACGACGAGAGCAATGGACAGTAACTAGTTAGTTATCTACTATAAGGACTTGATCATATATTGCTGAATATAACTATTTAAATCATAGTGAATGACCCTACAACTTCCAATAGGTATTCAAAAATTGAAATATGGAAGCAATTAGTTATAACGATAAGATTAAAACATTTGAAATTTAAAGAAACAAATCTGCTATAACGATTGTAAAAGTTTACACAAATGAGGGAAATATTTTCGTCACAAATATAAAGGAATCAGTTTGTCTAATATCGTGCCCAAGATCTTAGGATTCATAGTTATGTGACGCCTAACTGGAGCTTGAGAAAACTAAGCAGGGTTCAGACCTCGAAGAAAATGCACCGACCATATTTTCACCTTCCGACAGGTTCTACAACACAGTGATACCTACCAGCGACAGACACTTGCAATATTTGTTGACCTGAAGGTGAAATTTGACTCAGTCGACAGTGAGGTGTTGTAGCAGTGTCTAACTGTGAAAAGGGTACCAAGTAAGCACATAATGCTCATCACAGCTCTCTACTCCGACTCACCAGTCGTATAAAGGTTAATAGAGAGTTGTCTTCAGAATTCACGACAACTGATTGCTACTTTGACGTGGTGATTGGGCTTGTATATTACAATGACCCAACGAGCTACATCGACTGGAACGTTTGACCGATCGAGGTCCTATCATGTCAGAAAGATCTGCTGGATAGTTTCCGTTGTAGTAAAAACTGCTACACCATGATGGGATCGTACCGCTAGCATACCATTGAGCAGTAGGGCAGAAAGTGCACTTCTCGACCACATACCACTCAACAACTATCCATGTGCTGTTTGCCAGATTGGGTCTGTAAGAAACATAAAGGATCGTGAGACCAACCACAACTATTCTTAATCTCTACCTATGCGCACCCACCAACTGCAGCTCAGATAATCCAAAGTATCAATTCTATAAAAATCTGTCAACCTCGCTATAGAAAGCAAATCCTTCACATATAGTCATAATGCCAGGTGACTTTAACACTCACATAGGCAAGTTGAGCCAATACAAGAGGAATCTGGGAGGTATTTACGGAATCCTATCCCAACGAACCAACAATCGTGATCGTCTGTAGGGATTTTTTTTCCCGGAAATCACTTGTTTCTGGCCAGCACTAACTCTCAGTATAAGCAAAGACAATGTCTCACATAGTGTTCGCTGACTTAAAACCGCCGGTGGACACAGATAAATCATATTCAATTAAGCCATCGTCGCAGAGGATTGGTGGAAGACTGTTGTTCTTTCTGGAGTATTAGTTTTGACTCCGACTACGCGCTAGCACAGGAAACAGGCGATCATAGAGTCTATCTACTCTTCAACCATGATTAGAAGGTGGAGACGCCAAATACGTATGTAGCGAGGAGTTAGGAAGCACTTATCTGAATGCGCCAGCAATGCTCATTCTGTATCGAACCTGAAACGATGCAAAGAGGCTGGACCTTATACTTTGCCACCCGAAGTTTTGAGGGAGGAAATTGCTAATCGAAATGACGAAGGTACCAGGTGGTGTATGAGAACCAGAGATAGTGCCGTTAGAGTGCTGTACTCCTCCGATTATGCTGGTCTATAAAAAGGGGAAGACATTTTCTTGTGACAATCATGGGGGAATTAGTTTGACCAATATTCTGTGCATGATAATAGAATATTACATATGCACAATATTCAACAACAACAACACACCGTAAACGTACTGAGAATTCACAAAAAAATACTTACCGCAGGCAATTTTCGCTGGGGTACACCTTCCCAGCATAGTAGTTTTTCTCTGATTTCCATTTACCATAAACCCACTGTTCGCCTAAAAGAAAGTGAAGGAAGAAAGAAAATATTAATTGGGGTGATGACTGAATTCGGAAACCCTAAATGATAGCAAATTGGAACAGCCGTCCCTCAAGTACTCCGTAAGTTAGTGCATAATCTACCCATAATATAATATTACAATAAAATGACCTACAGAATACCCGTGATACTTTTGATAATCATATCTCAGAATGAATTCTAGTGATTGTACATATCTACCGTTTAAAACAGACAAATTAAAGTAAAGCCTCACACAAAAATGCATCCGTTCAAATTGACAAAATTCACAGCAGCATGCACAGGAGGAGTGAACAGAAATGGGGTTATCTTAATGTAGATAAACGTGTATTAGAAACAAGAGGATAAATAAATAAAAGTTAGTGGAAATATGCCGGAAAATATATTGGATAATTGGGTTGTGTTTAACACATCATTATAATTATTCACAATGACAAAAAAATTTGAATAATTTCACTGGGAAAACAAACCTCTCAATACTCACTGTGAAAATCTTCGACACAAAAAGTTATACTTTTGATATAATAAAAACGTCAAATTATCCGTCAATAAGAGTGAAAAACGAGTTGTATTACTAACCCGACTTTAACCAAGGCTGAATTTCAAAAGCCTTTGTATTCACAGAGTTATGTTTAACCAAACAAAACACATCTATCTGTTGAAACTAATAATCCTCCGCTGTTATACTGGATCAAGTTGACCAACCTCTGTTAATTAATGAATTTTGAGGTAGAATTCAGCACGGACTGGCATTAGTTGAGGAACCATTGAAAACCTGGGAGCATTGGACAGCTGTTTCATCCCAGTGTGGGACTCAGCATAACGCACCCACCACCCGACTAGGGATCGAACCCAGGACCTTCGAGTTTCACGATGAACGCGTTGACCATTGAGCCATTGGGTTGGAGTTTGGTGGTTCACAGTTTTCAACTTATGCGAATTCACGATACAGAGCGACTATCACCCAAGGTCTGCGTTGGCATCCGCTTCCCTTCTAACTGGTCACGGCTTTTCATTAGAACTTCGTGATATCCATCTGGAAGCATGTCACTAATGAGGATTATACAGTACTTTATTTTTGAGATGAGTGGGGGTTTTAATTAATTAACTAATTATTAATGGCAGTAATAATAATAGCTTTATTCCAAACAATATGTTCGATACAGTATGGAATTCTCAGTATGGCATAAATAGGCTTCCATGCGGATGCCTAGGTATTACCTGAATATTTATTGTCCTGGGTTCTACTGCTGGCTATGGCCAAGTCAAAAAGACTTATCTGTCTAATACACATCCCCAAGGTCGTGTTGAAAAACACCAAAAAGTCAACATACAATCTAAAACGTTACTGCAGACCATGTATTTTGAAAGCTGGTTCACCTACATAATTCAGTAAAGAATGACTTTATACAGGAAACACCGAATCATGCTGGGGCAAAAAAGATAAACCATTACTAACTGATAAATATTTTAGGCCTGCCAAAGAATGCCTTGAGTTACTTAATTTGATGATCAAGCTTATAACAACCAAGCGCACAGTGCAATATTCAAAACCAACTGGAGTTTCTGAAGAGTAACTCTAAATGCCATTCTGGCAACTGTTGAGATAATCGATTACTTTTCTTTATTTTGTACAAAACTACCTTTCTTATTGAAACAGCGAAACTTGATTGGCTATTTGAGCAGTTGTCAGGGTGACCTTTGAAGTCATTTCTTCTGAATCTTTTATCACAAAAATAAAATGCCAATCTTATAGCACCCGAATATACTTTGCTTAATTATAGAGGCTTTATTATCTATGCCTCCACGTATATTTTGATTGACCAATCTGACCAACTAGGTACGCCTCATCAACAAGCTCAGAAACGTTGAATATTTATTTATATTTCAATCAGCTTCTGATCTATTTGAGTGCCTCCGCACATTATAGTAGCATGAGTAGTGTGGGGAGAAACCCACACACATCTGAAATGTTAACCTAAAAGATGAAGATAACTATAACTAACAATAACCGAATATCGCTAAAAATAAGTGCATACCTGAAAACAGTTTACTTGGTGTAAGAGTTTTATCGGGAGCCTCCAATACAGTTTTTTTTGCCGCATCATTCGAAACAGAATTTTCCTCCGTATCAGTTTGATAAACAATCCCGTTTGCTTCGTTGTTGCATATATTTCTTGAAAGAAAAACGGGATGACCAGTAACATACATCATTTGACAGACACACACCCGTTAGTTTTGGATGATAACTTTAGTACGGAAGTAACAGTGTGATTTTTTAAACACAGATAATTAGTCAGTGATCAGTTCGCTAGTACTCTTGATGCTCATCTAACTTGAGTTTGGATAGCATCCACAGCTCAAGTGAAATCGATTAACAAATGCAGTTCCGTAAGGAGTTATCAACAGGCGGTGGTATATCATTTTGCGCTAAAACTACAGGCAATGGAACTAGGTTCTTGAACCAAACTACAAGCTAGATATGATTTTTGTGATGGGTTATACCAACCTGTGTTGAAGTAGGTTATATGGGTCTGAACTCAATGAGAAAAATTAATTGTCTAAACTAGTGAGCTACACTAGTACATATTTTCTAGGGCATAACCAATGCTTTTCAGTGAAACGCTATTTCAAGCAGGTCAGCATACAAATCTCCGGTTGAAGAACACATCATATCCATATAGCAAGTATTATTTAAGTATAAAAATCTGAAAACAGTCAATTCAAGACTTTTTTCGAACGACATGAAAGACATTCGGAAGATATTACATACAAAAATTTAATGTAAATATAACATACTTTTTACTTAATCTTACTTTGGATAATGAACTGACTCGTCAACTGTGTCTTCGGAGGGTGTTTCGTACACCAAAGTTAGTGATGGTCGATAGCTAAGATCTACCGTTAAAAATAAATAAATAAACAAAATAATTAAGTTGACCAATCTAAAAACTGATGCATAGTGTAGTACTTAAACAATATTATGTTTCATTCATTCTATCTCTGCTCAAGGAGAAATATGTAAACTCGGCTTCACTTTTCTTGTATCAATGACACTTTTGTGTGACAAATTTGCAATTTTTGTCTCTAATGTAGACGAGTGGATACAACTCAATTAATAATCATTTGGAAAATCATATACAATGAAGATAGGAAACGTCATGCAACACACATTAGTCTACTCTTTTTTACAATCTGCGATCAATTACCATAAGTGGCGGTAGTTCATTGATCTAGAAACTCAACTTCTAATTAGTGGATCACAGATTCTACCACCGCTCCAACCACTAAAATTTGTGTATCCTTAGCCTCCACACAATACGTGTGGCTCCTTACCTACTCTACATGAACTTCAAACACATTATTTAGACGCAGATCAATTACTTTCACATAAATGTTCCTGGGTCAAGATAAGGCTTTAACTAGTGTTTTAAATATAATGTTACTAAGAACGATATATTTTCCAAGATATTGTATATGAAACAACTTACATAAGGAGGACATTCCAAATCAGTGGACCATAGCTTTGAATCCTGGTTCACCTACGGAGCTTTGTGAAACCAGAGAGTATCAATGAACCTAATACAACGGCCTATCACATAAATCCGTACATGGTTACTGGGTTTTACGTGGATTGTAAGGAATTATGTAATTCAACCCAGCGCATGTTCATGTACTGGGCTATGACCAACATTTAATGTGTGACGGCTTATGGTATTACCCTGATGTTTAGGTCGAGATGTATGAAGTCGTATTTGAACCTGGGAAGTATTGATTAGGAAATAAAATGCTCAAGCAAATAAGTTGAATCTCCAAAATGTCTTAAAGATGCACCGAGCAAAAGTTGAAAACTAAGTTGGATAGGGTAACAGATCATAATGTAAAAACAGTTTCACCAAGTTAGCAAGAAACATTCGAAGTATCAAATCTATTTACAAATTTAACATAATCGATGATCAGTTTGATTAAATAATAGCAAAGATGAACTTTAATGCATTTCGTCTCCGAAAAAAAAATGTAATAATACGCTTCTAAGGCAGACTTACCACGAATTGTTACATTTTCTGAGCTCAGAGATGAACGAAATGAATTTAAACGAAGTGAGTTTGGTTCACTTTGTACTTCAGCAACATTGGATGTAGTGGATGATTCACATTGCTGTTTGTCCTTCAAGTCATGAATACGCTTTAGAATACACATATGAAAAGAAAAGAAGGGTTAGAGTTGCAGTTACTATTACTAGAAATGTGAGTGTTGGGAGAATGAAAATAACTAAACAAAAAAGATTAGTTAACAGATAGACCGATTCTATATTCGTCAAAAATGAGTGAAGTTTAAGCGAACTCGAAGGGTGATCAGATTGTTGACAATGAACACAACACTTGATTAACACAATGAGTTCCATAGAGAACTTACACAATACCTGTACATACACGAATAACGAAATTCTACTTTGATTTAATTAGCAGTCTTCTACTACCAAATTATACACAAAATATTATATTCAAAGAGATGATATATAATTCAATCTATATGAACAATATAATACGTTGTTTATGAAGTCGCTTAATTTTCAAAGTTTCAATTCACTACTTATAGCTGACAGGAGCAATGGAAAACCAACAGAAAGAATTTTACATAAAAATGAAAACGTATAAATAAAGGTGGGAAAACATTTGGATCATGGACACATGTTCATCTCACCAATTACAAAAAGATGACGAGAGAATACATATTCGTTATTCTCATACACAATACAGCTACGTTTCCTGATATCTTCAAACACCGAATTCTCAGGAAGGCCACAAACTATCTACCAGTATACAAGGCAAATTTTAGCGACCAGTGAATCTAAAAGTTTAGATTATGACTGGATTGATAATCCAGAATGGGCATGAGACAGATATAGAATATCAAAACAGAACCTTGCATTAATGTATAGCGGTACAATACTGAAACTCAGTATGACAGACCATATGGAGATAGTGTGTGCATACATCTGCACCACTAATATCGATTCTGAGCCATGACACTCGAAGTCCCCACCACTCATTGATTTAAATTGTCGCATGGACCCCAAACGAGAGGTTTGAATTTCCCTACACGACTCAGATCAAAAGTCACAAATTTCATAAACAAATACGATGTCTCAGTCTTACCACCAGTGAAGATCAGTCGTAGAGTAACAATCTGCATCTGGGTGTTGAGAAACGCATCTTTAATATCCTCAAACTGCCACTCAGTTCAGAAGACTGCACATGGTGCTGCAATCTTCAGCCAATAGGACTATATCATTTGCGTAATCTAGGTCTGGCTAATGAATCTCCTGTGACGAGTCCAATCGACGAAAGTCAAATGAAGAGAAGGAAAGCTTCATGAGTGAGTCAATGAAAACGTTGAAGCAGACTGATCAGAGTGAACATGCTTGACGCATACCACGTGAAAACTGAAGTCGCAGCGCACTCGGCAACCCTGTGCGCATTCCTGCAGCAAGCGCAATGAGTAACACCCAGTGTGTGAGGCCTAATGACTGTTCGACCCTCGGCATGGGGAGTAGGATTCGAACCTGTGACCCATTGGTTTGAAAGATACCTCCCTAAACCAATGAGCCACCACTTGACATTGAGTGGTGACAGAATAGTGAGGGTGACTGATACTTCCCGGCTTCCCACACTGTCTGCGGTTACTTTACCTCGAGATATCTTAAAGAGTTGTTTTAGTATGAGTGCCGTGTGACTGTTGACCCAGATTAAATCTCATTGTGGCCGGTTAGATGATGCTTTCAGGATTTCTAGGTTTAATTTGACGTCTATCCAGCTAGGAAAACTCATACTGCCGACGCGAGAAGACTCCAAGAGTAGAGTGCGCTGTTTTGGAGATGACTTTACCTTGCCTGCCTCTTACCGTATGCAGTGCAACATGAGCACGATACTGCTGGTCAGCAGCAGGAAAAGCTAACTACAGTCACACTCCAGTTCAACCAATAGTACGACTTTGCCCTGGGACTGCACGTCATAGTGTAGCAAGATACACCATAACAGTAACTGTTTTTGGTCTTGCTGCTATCCAACTTACATTTGTCGCAGGATATGACCACTGTGATATGCATGTCCGATCACTACGTCAGGGTAGCAGCTAGCGGCATAAAATAGTGCGAATCATATTTTCCACTAAGGTAACATTCAAGAATTCATGTTACTTCCTGAAATATCAAGTGGATCTTTAATGTACTTTGATTTAATGTCGCATTGATATCTTGAAACGCATAAACGTGAACGAGCAACAGCGAAATTGACCTTCATGAAGTGAACGAAGCATTACTTATTTGGCTGATACAAATAAGTATTTATGAACAACTGGGATCACCCAGTAAATACTTAAAAGTGAGAAAAAAATACAGATTTAAATAGTTGTCATTCCATATTGTCATATAAACAAAGTCGGACTGTAACAGTGATGATGAATGACTTCATAAGGAAATTACACTGTCGAAGATATCCTGTACAGCAGTGAGGTACATTACTTTGTTAGCTAACTGGGTAACATAGTGTCGCAGTTACATGAACGACTTTTCCAGAGAAATATTCTGGTATTTGTTTGATTTCCTTATTCTTTTGATTTCAGTATTAAAATATCTGCAGATTGCAACTTTTATGAGTGCACTACTTTATATCTTTGGAATAACATTAAAATCATTCACATAATCTGCTCTTGTCAAAAAGAACAATGACAATGAACAAACCGTAAGAACCAAGGACGCTTACATCGACACGATCACCACTGAAAGGTATGTTAAGTGAAAACAAACAGGTAGACGTCTTGGCTATTATTACGGTATTCATAACGAAATGCATTCAGCAACAATGTGTACGTTCGTGCAGTAGGCAATCGATCACATGTATTGTGTGAAGACTGATGATAGTGCCAGGTTACCTAATTCTTAGCAGTTGAAAACAGCTTAGAACCCGTGACCTGCTGTTGGAAGTCCAATTTCTAGACCTATAGGCTACAACCCCCCCCCCACACGAGGTATACGTATGAAAATACCATACATTAGTATCACTCATTGTGACCATAAACGCATCAACATTTACATTTAACTATATCTTGACACATCTATCTGGCATACTGGATATTTTAGTTGTATTTATTGCTACTACCATACAAAACAATGCGAAAACTTTAATATGCTTAAAAAATGAGTAACTTCAGTTTCAGCTACGAACTTTTCAGGTTGCTTTTTGGGTTAATTTGAGAAGTAAGTACTTTGGGTTTTTTTCCAGCTAACACAAGGAATACAGCGAACATTTCAAAACCACTAGAATGTATGCTAAAATGTTATTCACAAAAGTAGTGAAGTAAAGTAAACTACATGAAATCCATTTTAGTCTGTTCATTAGAAATGACACAGTGAAACAGTATCATTTATTGGATAACGTTTCAGACACAACTTATTGTCCATAATCATATTCATGAATCCATACTTCTAAACTCCGACGTTACATTTTTAAAAGTCAGGACAATGGCGAAATCCTAGCAAAACAAGACAGACATTAGCTGATGACAGTAAGATTCATCTAAACAGATAGGGTATATAGAAGTAGTATTCATCATGGAGTGAAATCAGTTGGGGAACCATTGAAGATCTGGGAGCACTGGACAGATAGATATATCACATAAAAAATTGGATAGAAATGCGCAAAGCAACCACATACACGTTCGCGGAGTAAACAATGAGCCACACAACTGGGTAAGGAATAATGATACTATCTAGGTGCTCAAACCTCGGTAGATAAAACGGTATTCGAACAAGTTACTGATTAGTTGGAAGTCATGTGCCTAGACCAAAGAGCAACAGCTCCATATAACAGAGTTGTTCACTTTTTACGCATTCTAGACAATGAACAACGCAATGTTTGAATATCACTCAACACTTCTATCCCTAAATGCTACATTCAGTTCCATAAACATTTACACTGTTCAGTAGTGGGCAACAAATGTGTTTTCTTTACAGAGTCTGAGTTAATATACCAATGAAAAGTGGTGACAAACGATTGATCGTCACCATTTAGTAGAATGGTAAAAACATGTACAAGCCTGTTTTTGCACTCTTTATTCTATTCGCAGAAGTTTTAATAATGCACGAAACAAATTTTAGAAATTACCTTTGTAAAGCACTTCGGAATCTATACAAGCGGGAAACTTATTGTGTTTCAGATTTTCTTTTAGAACGACTTACTTTGTTTGCTGAACGAGGTATGAAGAGATCAGAACTAGAGGATGATGTTGTACTTGCACGCACCGGCGACTTAGTTTCAACGGCATGTCCAACATTATTCTGTGAAGAAATATAAAAATAAAGTCATATATGTGTATTATATAATGTATCAAAATCATACTTTCAACAAACTCCACGATCCCCATGAAATCGAAACGCACTCAGTAACTTTGTGCACGTTCATGCAGTAGGCGACCCGCCATAACTTTGTGAGAGGCTGTCCAAATCTCGAGAGGTGGAGCGGCATTCGAACCTATAACCCAATGGTTTGTATTCACTGCATAAACCATGGGCAAAAGCTCACCAGTAAAAAAGCAAGTATTTTATACAAATTAGTACACCTGCCCACCCTACCTGATTGAGAATCGCCATTCGCAACATGAAAACTGATGAATTCATTTTTTTAATTGAGAACCATTTTATACTCTCTACTTTTATGAAAACCTCGTCTGGTTAACTAGTTCACTAGTTACTAGCCGGCCCTAAGCCCGGGTAAAGAGGGAAGGTTGGGCATACGGCTAGCAACACTACCCCGTAAAACAAATCCAATCGCTAAGAAACTCCTATGCACAAAGAAAATATAAAAAATAAAAACAAACTTATTCCTCTCTGGAATCGGGAGACGAAATGACGCCGATTCGTGAAAGTATTCAGGAAGTCAACTGGCCAATTTGTCTTCTCTCGATGAAACCGAAAGTAAGGATGGGGACATGGAATGTCCGCACCACGTATGAACCTACCAAGGCTACCCAGATTGCACAAGAGATGAGTAGGTATGGCATAGAAGTGCTAGGAATCTGCCAAAGCAGATGAGATGGAAATGGACTCTCCAAGCTGTTAACTGGAGAGTCAATAATCTACTCCGATATTCTCACCCAGACGACAACCACGAGCACACTGAGTTTTTTGAGTGGCTATCATGATGTCCCCAAGAGCATCGAAGGCTCTCTCTCATGCAGTGGGAACTAATCTCCTCCACGATCAGGATCATGACAGCAAGGTGGATTCAACTCAAAAGGAAGGAAAGTCACAATCATACAAATAATGCAGGCCAAGGGAAGAATGAGGGATTCTATAGACAACTGCGATCATACTAGACAAGACCCCACTCCAGATGGCGACATCGAAATTCTAATTGGTGGGGTGACATGTATGCCAAACACAGAGTGGACAACACAGGAAGAGAACTAACCATGAGTCAAGAAGCGCTCGGTGAAATGATGAACGAGAATGGAGAATTGTTTGCAGAATTCTGTGCATTCAACGATTTGGTGACTGCAGTGAGGCAGTGTGTACAAACACAAGGATATTCACATGGCAGCGACATGGATCTCACCAGACACCAGGACACACTAAAAATCTTATCGACTCCGTCTCAATCTCAAGAAAGTGGAGATGCAGCCTACTTGACATAAGGTGAAGAAAAGCAGATGTAGGTTCACACCACACACTATCCAGTGCAAGGAACCCACCCTCAAAACCAAGTTGAAAACCTTCAAAGAAGTTGGTGATAGACCGCAGTTCAAGTACAACACTCGGAAACTGAAGGATGAAACTACAAAGGAAATCTTCACGGCAGCCAGCCATCAAGACAAAATGGGAGATATCGAGGACCATCTCTGAAGAAACCTGTGTGGAAGAACACTGGAAGTCTTTGAAAGAGATGTGGAAAGAAACCTGCACAGCCGTATTAGGAAGGAAGAAGAAAAAAGATAAGGAATGGATCTCGACGGATACATGGAATCTGATAGAGCAGGAAGAGGAGGATGGTGAAGCAGAAGATAAACCAATGCAAGGATGCACAACAAAGAGGAGGAACTGAGTACAAAGTATAAAACACTACACTGGACAAAGAAGTAAAGAAGAGTGCACGGAAAGACAAAAGACACTTCTACGAAGCACTGGCAAATGAAGCAGAACAGGCTGCACGTGAGAGAGATAGAGACCTGACAACATTGTATCAAATAACTAGGTTACTATCTGCGAAGAGATCAACACACATGAAACCAATAAAAGATGATGACGGAAATTTAACTAAGAAAGAAGAGAAACAAAGGAAACAACGAGCCGACCACTTCAAGAAGCTCTTGAATTTACCACCACCTGCACTTCGTCCAGAAATACCACCAACAGCCTAGCCACAGAACTACAAGTGAACATAAATCTTCCGACAAAAGTGGAAGTCCTGAACGCCATAAAGCTACTGAAATGTGGGAAAGCAGCAGGACCAGATGGGGTCCCGCCAGAAGCACTGAAAACATATGCAGGGACAACAGTAGCGGACATGCTCACACCACTATTCAGGTTTGGAAGGAAGGGAAGGTACCTGGCTAGTAATTGGAAGAAGGGTTACCTTGTCAAACTCCCGAAGAAGGGAGACCTCAGTGTTGGCAAGAACTGGCGCGGAATCACTCTCCTCTTCACCCCAAGCAAAGTATTAGGCCGCATCATCCTGGAGAGGCTAAAGGATGCACTGGATTCAAAACTACGACCCGAACAGGCTGGATGGATTCAGGAAGTACAAATCATGTGCCGACTAAATTGCAACGCTACACTAGCATCATCATAGAACAGAGTATAGAATGGTAGTCAACTCAACTCAACTCAACCTCAACTTCATCGATTTTGAAAAGGCCTTTGACAGCGTCGACCGAGAGGTAATTTGGAAACCGCTTCATTACTACGGAGTGCCGCAAACCTTTATCCACCACACTCAACAACTATATGAAGATGCCACATGCCAAGTAATTCACAATGGGAAGCTCAGTGATGCCACTGAAGTGAAGTGAAGACAGGAGTGAAACAAGGTTGCCGACTATCCCCCGTGATATTCCTGGTTGTGGTCGACTGGATCATGCAGCTGACAACTGTGGGGAGCGAGAAGAGGGGGATAGGCTGGCTGGACTGTGGAAAAGAACCTAGAAGATCTGGATTTCGCCAGTGATGACTTGTGCCTGATGTCACACAAACTTGAAGATCTACAGGCGAAAACTAACAAGTTGGCAGAAGAGGCAGGGCTGCGAAGACGGGACTTCAGGTGAATATAGGGAAGACAGAAGTGATGAAGTTACTGCACCAACAACTCCAACAACAACAAACTCCAGTCACCATCAACGGGAGAAACTTAAAGGAAGTAACCTCCTTCACCTATCTAGGCAAGCAGCACTGTTTCAACTACAGGCGGCACAGGCACAGACGAGGATGTCAAAGTCAGAATCGGAAAAGCAAGACAGGTGTTCATTAGCCTGAAACCAGTGTGGAGATCTTCTGCACTCAACTCAGCATGTGGAACAAGATCCGGATTTTCAACACTAATTCAGTCAAGTAAGTCATCATCATCATCATTATCAACATAGGACCAGGCATTACTGCGTAACGGTCCGAGTTGCCACACCTCATATCAGCACATCAAGTAAAAAGGTAGTGAGGTGAAGGATGAAGATAAGTGAATGCAGTCAAAAGAAATATAAAGTATGAGAAGAAAGGAAAGAGGAGTGACAAAATAGTGAGATTCGGTATAGCGTTGTTAAGATGAGGATAATGTGTGTATACATCTGCGCCACTGACTTCGGTTCTGAGCCATATCACCTAGGGTCTCCAACCACTGGTTCCTCTTGTCCCGTGGACCCCAACCACCTAGTCTGCATCGTCCTACATGGCTTAAACCAACAGTCAGAGACTTCATACATTGGTGCCATGTTTTAGTCTGGCCACCTCGGGCCTTTTTCCAGCCTGAACCCACCTCAGCCAACATTGTGTGACGAGGCAATCGGTGACTAGGCATACGTAGTACGTGTCCCAACCATCTCAGTCGATGAAGGTTCACAACCTCGTCGACTGACTTACCTCTTCTCCCTAAAACTCTACACCTAACTTCTGCATTACTCACATGGTGACACCACGGAATACGTCCTATACTACGAAGGCAACGGTGGTCAAATACCTGTAACCTTCTCATGTCTTCCACTTTCAATGGCCATGTTTCACAGCCATACAGTAGAACAGAGCGGACTGCTGTGCAGTACACGCGACCCTTAATAGACAAACGAATATCACGGCGGCGCCATAGGTGGCGCAAATTGGCAAAAGCCAATCGAGCCTTTTGTATCCGTGCAGAAATCTCATCGGCAACTAACCCACCGGGTTGATCCTACTTCCCAGGTAAGTGAAGTGGTCAACACACTCAACCACTTCACTCTCTATTGTTAACCGCGGTACCGCTGAAGACCAGTCCTGGAGCAAAAATTTGCATTTGGGTGGTGAAAATCGCATCCCAAACATTCTCAAATTCCCACTCAAAGTGTTCAGAAGACTCTGCATCTTGTCAGCGTCTTCACCTAACAGGACTATGTCATCTGCATATTCTAGATCTAAGGAAAATTCACCTGTGATCCGGTCAACGTCTTTGTAATTAGGTGACGAGAGGGAAACCTCCATAAGAATATCTATGATAAAATTAAATAAGAATGGGGATAGTGGGCATCCTTGACGGACACCACTTGATGAGTATAGCTCCCTGGACAACTCACCATAGGCTCTAACATGCCCACAAGTGTTCGAGTAGAGAGCTTTCAATAAGGTGATGTACTTACTAGGCACGCCTTTCAGTGACAGACACTGCCATAAGACTTCTCGATCAACGGAGTCAAATGCCGCCTTCAGGTCGAGAAATACAGCTATTGTCGGGCGTCTGTAAGCATGCCTATGTTCCAGGACCTGGCGCAGTGTGAATATTTGGTCGATACATCCACGGCCAGGTCTAAAGCCTGCCTGGTTTTCTCGGGCTTGCTGTTCCCGAGCTCCACTCAGGCGTCGGAGAATTATAGAACTTAGGATCTTAGACACTATGTTTGTCAGGCTGATTCCTCTGTGGTTATCACAAGAGGACTTCTCGCCTTTCTTGAAGACTGGGATGATCAGTGACTTAGACCAGTCGGAGGGGATCGTATTTGATTCCCATATACTGGCTAACACTTCCGTTAGCCTGACTAAGAGAACTCTACCACCATTCTTGTATACCTCAGCAGGTAGTCCGTCTGGTCCTGCTGCCCTTCCCCGTTTCAGGCTACCTACCGCTTTCTCAACTTCTTCTAGTGTTGGGGGACCTGTCTCTATGTCCCATTCAGGGTCCGACTGGATAGCGGGCAGCGCAATGGTGGCTGGAGGCCAGTTAAACTGTTCCTCAAAGTGTTCTGCCCATCGTCCCAGTCGCCTTCCCTGCGAGTGAATCGCCGATCCGTCCTTCTCCGCTATAACCTCACTAACTGTTGTTGACCATTTCCCCCCAGTCTCCTTAATAAGTCTAAATAACTGTCTACTGTTACCGATCGCCGCTGCCTTTTCCATCTCTTTAGCCTTTGCTGCCCACCACTGTTCACGATCGTTGCGCAGACTTTTCG